ATACTCTGGTGGGATCTAAATCGCCACTCAAATTCCTCAAATGGATCAGCAGCTAACAATGGGCATTTCCACAGGTCAAAATACTCCCCCGATGTACGGTGATTTTGAAGCGCAGCGACATTGGATGGAAATTACGGCTCACCTCCCCATATCGTTATGGTACTTCTACGACCTGCAATGGTGGGGTTTGGATTACCCTCCTCTGACCGCGTACCACAGTTGGTTCTTGGGGAAGATGTAAGTCGCGCAAACCCACCAAGACATCTCCGGTCTGAAACTGATGTTAGATAGCGGTTCGATCATTGACCCGTCATGGTTTGCTCTTGACAAGTCTCGCGGGATGGAGGGGCCGTTGCTTAAGGTTTACATGCGTGCAACAGTCCTGGTCTCTGAATATCTCGTCTATGTCCCTGCTATTGTAATCTTTCTCCGGAGATACTCTCGAGTTCTAGGAATCCACGTGTGGGCTTCCTCTGTTGTTCTTGTTGCTATCCTGATGCAACCCGCTACCATTCTGGTCGATCATGGACATTTTCAGTTCAATACCGTTATGTTAGGGTTAGTGGTTGCAGCATCAGAGAGTATGTTCGCCGGCCGGATGCTCTGGGCCTGTTTGTTCTTTGTGTCAGCCCTATGCTTCAAGCAAATGGCATTGTACTTTGCCCCCACGATATTTGCCTTCATGCTTGGTGCCTGCTTTTCACCTCGTGTTAGAATCGGTCGATTATTCAGCATCGCTTTCATTACCATACTCACCTTCGCACTGCTCTTTGCCCCTCTTATAGTTGCTCCCCTCTATGATAACTACCTCGGCATTGAGCGTCCACTTCCCAGTCCGCCACTTCTTCAGAGCTTGCCAGTGAAATTGGACGAATCCTCATGGATTTTCCCTCCGGTTCTTCAGCTTTGTCAATCTATCCACCGCATATTTCCATTTGCGCGAGGCCTGTTCGAGGACAAGGTGGCTAACGTATGGTGCACAATTCACACATTTTACAAACTAAACAGATTTCCCTCAAGCATACTCCAACGCGCCTCTCTTGGTGCAACCCTTTTATCGATCATCCCCTCCTGCGCATTAATTGGTCTATTCCCTCGACCCGCACTCCTCCCATTAGCTCTATCAAGCACAGCATGGGGATTTTTCCTTTGCTCATTCCAAGTCCATGAAAAGAGCGTCCTTTTACCACTCCTTCCCATGACCCTACTCCTGGGCAGTGATGGTGGCCTAGGCAAGGAGACACGAGCCTGGGTTGGCTGGGCTAACATGCTTGGCGTGTGGACTCTGTTCCCACTCCTACGGCGAGATCAACTACGAGTGCCCTACTTCGTACTTACCATGATGTGGGCATATTTACTCGGCCTCCCGCCCACGTCACTAGATTTATATCGCAATAAATCGGTATCTGCCGAATCTACGCAGAGTTCTAGAAATTTGCATGTTCTAACGAAGTTGTTGCATTTGGCTTATTACTTGGCTATGATAACATGGCACTTTCTTGAGGCGTTTGTCCCTACACCAGCGGGGAAACCGGATTTATGGGTTGTGATAAATGTTTTGATCGGGGCATCAGGTTTTGGTATTTCATATCTATGGTGCACGTGGAAACTTCTTCAGCAAAGTGGGTTGATAAGCTCATCTGCGACTTTCAAGACAGAACAAGGGTCGCACGCAATAGAAGAGAAAAAGAGGCAATAAAGGATCCAATGGAAAATAGTTTCTGTGATAAATATTTTCATTTGATCCTTTTGCTTTTGCCTTCTTTTTTTTTTTTTTTTTTTTTTTTTTTTTTTTTTACCTTAGTTTTAATCCATGTACTTGTCAACGAAATGCCTTTCCCTTACTCTTTGAGTTCTTGTCAACTGCGTGCTGATGTTCCCTGTCCGCATTTCTCTCACTTGCGATACCCCAAATAAAACTGCTGTCCCAATTGACATTTTTACTTCCTTTTCTAATTTCAATAGATATGGAGACATTTATAGTTTCTTTCCATATTATCCGTGTACTACATCTGAATAACACTGCCATAGCTAGAGAAATGAACATGGTTAACTTAAAACGACATAAAACGAAAAACTAAATAAATTCTCCTCTCCTATAATACAGATTTCAGTGTAACAGAAATGGCTTAAAAAAAGAAACGCTTTACCCATTTCCCAGTACACAACAACAAAACCCATCAATTATCACAAACAAAATAAGCGAGAAAATCAACATCTGGCACCCATTGAGTTGACAGAAGACTTTATACATCTTATGATTTTAGGACAGACATATCCTAATCTTGAAAATCACCCATGAAAATGCGATTGATTCTCCCTTCCCTTCTCATCTACTTCCGTATACAGGCTGTAGCACGCATTGGAATTTCCTCCAGCAACTGATATCATCACCCAGAGCTTGTGAATCAACAGCTGTTGTCCCAAGATAGACAGAAATACAATTGATGAATGCTGGTGCTCATGTCGCCCCCGCTTTTACATTCCTTGAAGGTAATTGGCTTCCTTGATGGCCTTTCTTCGGGCAGCTCTTGCGCTCTTCGTAATTTGTGCGCGCGTCTCAGCACTAGAGGAGGCAAGTTCAAGAGATCCTGGAGATTGAGCCACTGCATCGGCTGGAGTGATATCGACGGCTTGTTCATGTAGTGGGATATTGCGTGGTTCGGAAGCGGTACTGTCTGCCATTCTCTTTTCATGACGAAGTTTCTTTTTATTCATGGCTATCTTCATGGTTAAGATTTTTTTTAAAATTGAAGTGTTGTAGGCAATACTTATCTACGTGGTTTATATTTTAGACATAACAAAAAAACTTACTCGACGTATCAACTCCTCCGTCCGTGTTTGACTTTGCCTTTGCATCATCCAGAAGGGACCATAGCCAATCGGGATACTCATCGTCCTCCAATGCAAAAACTTCTGGTTGATTTTTCATATAATTCAGTCCCTTCAATTTCGTGCCGGCAGGCGTACCACTGATCACACGCGGCGGCGCATCTTTCTTGGACTCCGGGGATGCAGGAGGAGGATGAGCTGCTCCTGGGAGGGTGATTGATGGAGCGGAGGATGACGGAAAGGGCGTGGAAACATCGGTGATCGATGTGCTGTATGCTCGGAGAGTCTGGTTTTTGTAAGGAAGGAAAACTGTGCATCGTGATGCTTGGACAGACTCAGGGTTTGGTAGTTGGAAGGGGAGACGAGGGAGGAGACTTGTTCTGCAGCGGCGGTAGAACATTTGGCAAATGTAATCGGGGACAAATATAAGGAGATAGTAGTAAAGTAAAAAGAGACACTACATAGGTATATTCGGCGAAGAGTGACAAGTCAATCGTACATGATTGACCCAGTTGATGAGCTTCATGTATAACTATCTGTTGCGTCGGCTTAAAAAGTTGAGAGATGAGTTTGATGCCAAGGCCCAGAAAAAAGTTATTCATATGAATATCACGTGATTTAAATCTCCACGCTGGGCAACGAGTGCGTAGGAGAGATTATCCATGGATGTTTATTTTAGTGAGAAGTTGTAAAAGCTACACGTGTGAATCAGTGTTTACTTGCAAGTAGTGACGAAGGCATGCAAGAAGTGGGTGAAATAAGGTGATAAAACTGGAAAGCTAAAAAGTAAAAGCACAAATACAAAGGCAAGATTCAATTTGACGGTGCTGGGAATCGAACCCAGGCTGGCACGGCCACAACGTGACGTCTTACCACTCGACCACACCGTCTTATTTCTCTTGGCTCTCTTTAGCCAAATTGATGACTGAGAGTTTGCTTAGAGGGGTTTGCTTCCCCGTAATTAGGACGACCGAACCTCGGAATGGAACACGGTTCCCCGAGAGAACAAAATCTGCTTTTGCTGCAAGAGAATTGCATAAAAGAGACGAGAGCAACCTATCCTGTCATATCTCCACGTTGTTCCCATGGGAGTTGAGCAGACCCGAAAATATAACCGCTACGTTGCCAGCGACCGGATAGGTGTTATGGTCGGGCATTCGGAAATCGGCCACGGCCCGATATTTGGGTTTAATTTGGTTCGCTCTCGGGCCGATTCCACATCATGCTGCTGGTTGGTTCGGTGGAAGGAGCCAGCCGGAGCTTGTCATTGCAAGAACAAACCTCACCTTCCATGAAAAAGAGTGCTCTCAACTTTGGGAATGGCGATAAAAACTCATTTCCAGTGATGCAGTATCAAATTGTTGGATATATCGAGATTCACGAATTAACTTTTTGAGCGCCAGCTTGCTGCGGTTTCTTCTGCGGTCCATCGTTAGCGCTCCCTCATACCAATTGAAAATATGATATGGTATTTTAAACACTTACGATGTTGGATATTTGGCTAACTTGATGCTGTTTCGGGAACCGCTAACCCGACATCTGCATTGAAGGAATATCAATCCTTGAATTGCAAAGCAGCGATTTGCAGCCCCGCACCCTCCGAAACTGCGGCAGACATTATATACTTCACAGCAACCTTCGGATCACTTCTATCGGAGTCTCTTCAATGAAATAACACTTCCCAGAACTTGTTTCTCAGAGTGGGATAGAAGTAACACAGATATATATATTAGTGATATCGCTCTTAGGTGTTCACAATGTCTTCAAGTTCCATAGTTTCTGGGGCATTACCGTGTTGTGTCTCGCTTCATGAACAGATCCATTATTGAATATCTCGATTCTTTCTTCATCTTCTCTGATATTCAAAATTGTTGCTTCAGCGAATGCTCCTGATTTTCTCTCACTTGCTCTCATTTGTGTCCACCCAATCCGAGATTCGAAATCGTCAGACCTGTGAACTGACAGAATGGCGGACTTGATCGATTGCAAAGGTTGCTAACTACGAGAACGACTATATGCTGGGGGAAAACAGGTTACGTGACGGAAGGGTCCCACATAAACATCCACCCCTGATTGGACGGAAAGCTGCTGTTCCCCGAGTAGTATAGTGACTTGTACGATACAATGCCAGCTAGAAGCTTTCTACGTGCATAAAGCGGGGGTAGGCATTAAGTCCCCTGTTATTGAAGCGGCATTAAATGGGTAGTTCAAGGTACGTCAGCATAGAAAAGATTTTTTGGATTCATGGTTTTGACCAAACGTAGGAGGCCTCGGCGGAAACTATGCTCTTAGACATTTTTGATACCGACATCGTGAAACGGATGAGGGTATCGAGTGCAGCCCTGCAAAAAATGCCGCTATGATGGGAATTACATGCATCTCCGAATCCGACTGTGGTGCACGCTATTGCGGACTTTTTGGGAATACTAGGCCTCCTAAAACGCTCCATTGAAAGCATCTGCCATCTCCTCGATTTCGGCTGGTCCACAGAGAGATTCATATATGCAATGCATATTATGTTGCCGACTTCCCAAGACAAAAATCTCTGCGAAGCCATGGCATCTGTCGCTGTGGACCATATCAAAGAATTTTGGGAATCTGAGACATACGTTGAGCTTGATATGACGAATCGCATGAACTTGGGTATTGCGGCCACGCTGGCTAGAGGACCGGCGAGAGCACGCCCTGTAGTTGTCGTTGACGTGGTCGTTGCGAGTCTCTTCATTAGTCCTTCTCCTGGAAGTTTGCTCTGGAAATTGAGATCTTCAAATATCTATTTCTTTAAAGTTGGTGTTTTCGCCACTTTGACTTGGACATTCTTTTCTAGGTTTGAGATACAATATTTCGAGTGTGGAAAATTGCACTGTCCACTTCTTTTTTCTCTTCCCAATGTCACAGAAAAACTAAATCATTCATCATCCAACGTTGTTCTTCGAATTCCGTGATATAAAATGACTACAATATTAACCTATCCCATTCTATCCCATCATACCTTCCTCCCTCCTTTCCGCTCACTCCAGTTGCCTCCCTGAGAAATATAACAAGGCGTGAAATTCCTCCAGTTTTTAGATCTAAATGATATAGAACGCAAGAAGCACGAGAAGCATGGAAAGCCTCAATAACGCCAGCCGGAGTTGCTCCCTCATATATTGCTGTCGGGGTGTTTGGGCAAATATGTCGTGAACATGAAGTTAAAATCGCAGAACACCATATAGACCTGTAACATGCATTTTGGAATACGTGGTGAAATAGCGATGGTGACGTAGCAGCTGCGCCAAAACAAGGCCCGGTTGAAAGGGTGAAATCAAATAAGACAAACATACAACGCCTTACGTGTCCCACAATAGGTTTGAAGCGGGGCAAATGGAAAATACATGTGTTCGTAACGATCACGGAGCATTCGTGGGGAATTATGGGTAGTTTTTGAAAGACTTTCCGTCCCCACGAGGCCAATGGTATATCCAACGGCCCAAGTATTAGATGCCGACTAAATTAGTGCCCCCTCTGACTCCACGGCTCACTCTCGTATATAGGAACTAAAGAATTCGCTTCAGACAAGGTCTCCTATCATTGAGGCCTCTAAACTCCAGCTACAGGGCCATGTCGGCCCTGATTATTTTCACCATAAGACATGAAACTCATCACATGATTTTCTGGTGTTCCCGGTCTTGTTCTTTCGAGGTTAAGATTTGACCCGAGCACAATTCCTTCAGGCGTAGTCACTGAAAATTGAGGGGTAACCTGTTCAGCTGTGTTTGCTGTTATCCCGACCCGTAATTCTCTTGGTATATTTATTAATTGTCTCTCTGGTTCTCCTGGAAGCTCTGCACGGTAGCGGTTTTCCGTATTAGCAAGCTCAGATGTAACACTCTCCCGGGACGGAACGGTCGCGAGCATTTCGGCACGTGGTATTAAATGACTGCTTTCAGTACTTGAGTTGGGATGTTCGTTGAGTGTTGCTAGTGGGCTCGCAGCCCTAGACCTGAGATTCTGATTGAGATCTGAACTACCAAAGTCAGATGTCCCCAATGAGGGAGAGTGAAAGGACGAAACCGAACTGCCTCGAAAATCAGGTGATCCCATGAGAGTGGAGGAGTCCGAAGGAACAGACTGGTGAGACATTGTAAATTGGCTTGTCGCGTCCCTGTTGGTCAATGTTCCGCTTCCATAGACTGTGAAAAATGGAGGTTAATGGTTAAGAAACTGCAAAGGGATATACGTAAAGTGGTGAAAATATCAGTATAAACCAACCTTTGTTTTTGTCCAATGGTTTATTGAATAGATTCGGAGTATCAATGAAACTCTTCTGTGGATCTACTTTGGAGTCTGCAAAGCCCATACCCGTCATTCCGTCGTCGTCGGGCGGGAGTGGAGAACTTTGGTGTTGGCTTTGCTGCGCTTTTCGACTTTTTCTCCAAAGGAAAATTAGTACTGCTAGAATAAGAGCCAGCGCCAAAATTCCCCCAACCACCCCTCCAACCAATCCACTATTTAGCTTTTTAGATGCATTGGACTCCTGAGTCGGTGCTGCTGGGCTGATTGTGGCGTTCGGTGCTGCTGATGCAGCATCTGTTGGTACACCGCCAGATGGAAGAGTGGGTGAAGGCGAGTTTGCAAAAGTGGACGAGAACGTTGTTGATGTTCTATAGGAAGAGGCTAAAATAGACGTAGATGCAGACGAAGATCGAGTAGTTGGTGAAGTTGAAGTTAACGATGACGATGCATTATTTTGCCCACCTGGGCTCTCGTCGTCAGGACATTGTGCTATTGGAGGCCCCTTGCACGGATTGGATTTGCAGCATCCGTTAAAATTGTAACATCTATAAAATTGAAACCCTGATGGGCAGTCATTTGGAGCACGACGCGAGTGAGCAGGCATCTTATCCCATTGAATGTATTGTTCCAATAAAGATTGAGATTGCGTGAAGTAGTAGCTGGTATTGGCAATCCACTAGATGAGGAGTTGAATTGGGTGAACAGTGACAGGAATTCATACATGCAGTTATTCCATTGAGGAACAACAAGCAGCCGATGTAGAAAATATGAAAGAGATAGATGAAGTGATATGATATCGCTGGCTGTGCCACCTTGGGATATCTGACTTGACTGCGTGCAAACACTGAGACACCACACAAACGCCCAAGAAGTCAGAAAGAGGAAGAGAGGAAGAGGAAGATTATCAACAGTAATAAGTTATGCTCGTTTTTTGCGCTGCAGAAATGTCAAAACACTTATCTAAGCAAATCTTTCCTTTGCCATTCAAGGTGCATTGTTTCATCCTTTCGTCAAAAATCATAGATCACAGAACTGGTTTGATTGGCATTCGAAAGTCAGGTCCCCTAGTCAGTTAGGGACTTCGGTCAAGTCCGTATGACAAACCCTCATGACCGGGGTTGTTTAGCAGTTAGTTACCATTTTAATTCCGACACTCCGTGCACGATACAACGTAAAATGCCCTGTATCCCAAGGTCTCAGCAATAATGCTCAAAAATGGGCGGCCGAAGAGCCCTGCAAGATTGAGGAATAAAATTGACACACCTTTAATACTAGCTATTCCGTCCAGACCAGATCACCCAAGAGGTCGAGATTTTCGCGTGGCTCCTTCAACTTTCTCTTTTTCAATCGACAGAACAGTTGCAGCTGAATCCTACGGCTTCCGGAACAACATCTTAAAATGGGGTCCCCAACAAAGAATGAAAATCCGACTTTCAAGGCTGTAGTTATGTAGATGCACATAAAAACCTCTTTGACACAATTTATTGTTCCTAGGTCAACGCCTCTTCCGCATGTGGGTCCATTATCGGCGAAGCCATATTAGTTACCTTACCAAATGGTTTAGGTCCAACATTAGCCATCAGTCCCATGATGATTGGCTGGATCCGTTTGAATGGCGTTATATGTGAACGCCATCTATGGATGTGCAACATCATCAGTACGTATCCGTACGTTCAAAACCAATAATGCAAGTGTGTGCCTCTGTATATCGTCGAACAGTTTGATGCTTGATAATTCCCAGCTGAACAATCTTCAGCAAATGTTCTCTATCAAAGCCCTGGATTGAGCGATTTGACACAAGGCAGATCCGCTAATGATAATGCTTGATCGAGATACAAGTCACTTTGCTTGCAAAGTCAACGCGACCCATAACATCAAGGACGTAAAGACGCAGTGTCCATTGCTTCCTTTGTTTCCTCTAGAACTTTGATGCAAGTCGAAGCCCATGACTCTTCCCATTTCTGGTTCCCAACCTTCTGAGTTACAACGCGCTACTCTGGATAGACAAAGTCACCAGCCACATCTGCAGCTGCCAGATATCGTCCTACCACCACCATCCATCCAAATCCGTAGTAAGGAACGCATTACTCCGAAATGTGCATCCCCTTCCGCTGCTTCAATATGAAGAGCAAAAGTGAAGCGGAGTAAGCATTCTCGTAGGCAGTGGCTATGCTTCCTAAGAAACTATCTGTCATAAATTTTAGCCCCCTCTAAGCCTGATTCATTCTCTTAATTCATGGATTAATAGTATCAGTATTAACCAGATAAATGCCTCTCCCTATGTAACCCTCATTCTTGAGTTAAATCATTTGGTGATTGTCTCGGTATTTGATAGCTAAGCTCACAACGCAGCATTTCTCTAGCTGTCAGAACCTTGAACTATTAGACAAAGGCCACCATAGAAGATGGCTGAGTCATAATGCTGTATGTGAAAATATACGTGTGAGGTTGTATTTTATACAGGGATTGCAGGACGAGTTCTGCCCTGTTCTCTGGGCCAACCGTTGGCTCGTCAATCAATTTTCATGATTCCCGAATTGTCGAGGAAGAAATGATGTGTTGTGATTCAAGGAGTAACTAGGCGTAAAACACCATTGCAGGGAAATACAGGAAGAATGGGTATTCATTCGACAATGATGGAATGGATATTATCTATCCCCACGCTGCGGTGCAATGTGGAATCCGGGCACGGAACGGAATAAATAAATTAGCGGGCCCTCCCAATTGCTTGCTCCCCCTTAAAAAAAAACACCAAAATTGATTCCAACCGCGAACATTGTGAAATGATTCCAGCCTGCTGCAGTTTTGCTTCACAGCTGCGAACTAAGGCACTGGCAGCATGCGGAGTATAGAGGAGATGTGACCACCAAGATTGGATGTCAGGGAATCCAACCCGCCGCTGCTCCCCTCCTAATAAGGTCCCTTGCGAGTTTACTCCGTATGAAGTATTATGATTCTTGATTCCCGGCCTATCGGTCAGGACTCAGCTTTGTTTAAGTAGAAGGGAAAGCCCGGTTACCAAATTAACGTCGACCTCTGATGGATATAAAAAGACACAAATGTATTTTTACTCCAAATAAATTTAGGAAAAAGACATACGAAAGCCCGGATTCGCTGGTGGTCACCCACCCAACTACTAACAGGCCGGCGAGTGGCTTGAGTACGGCTGAGCGGACGGGAAGCCCTATTCTCCACTCCCTATGTTCGTATGTGTTGTTCATTGCATTTTTCAACTATTTTGATGCATGACCAGTGCGATTTACTTTATTCTGGGTCTTTCTCTTCAAGGAATGATATTAAGATGCATTCCGTCGACCGTCCAAGGAAAATTGTTCAACAATGACTTTCCCAGAAATTCTTTGGCAGAACACACTCTACCTCTTTGAAGAATATCGATACCTCCTCATCACAGAAGATTCACGAAATACGACTACCTCATTTGGCTCGCCGGCACTTCATTATTGTGATAGCCATGGGTTTATTGGGCAGTGCTTGTGCTTTTGAAGCACCGATCGAATCTCTATCCCGGTCAAGTCTTTAGGACTATCAAATGAGCGTTTTACGGTACATCCCCGCCCACGTACCGAGCTATTTATCCCCAGGGATTAACTTTCTTATCAAGGGAAATGATTCTTGCCAATTACCCCATGACGCGGACACTACATCCATACTGCACTGAATCTGTGTAGTTGAATGGAGTTTAGGTCTGACCTGGTGGCGACCCACGATCAAGTTCCCCAGCCTGTACTCAACGTCAAGGTGAAATTCGATATATTCTCGTTTTACACCGATTGAGGGAGTTATGGATGCGAGAAAAAATGGTGGTGACCAGGGTTTTGCAAGGAACTCTCGCTGCAGAGTTAGACATCTATGCCCGCATTTACCTCCTCTTTAACTATTATTTGTGTGCCTTATGAAGCCGACAGGATCCCGATCTCAACAACGTGCGGGACATATAGAGACAGGAACCGATTCAATAACTCCTTGAAATGGGAGGTCGAAGGTTGGACTTTGGATTCCTACCTTACGTCTTTTGGAGGATCAGCATAGGCTCCGGTTTCTGTATTGAGATATGTAACGATACGTTGTAAGCTCTTGTCGCCAATTCCTTTTTTTAATAAAGAAGAATTTTATTTTACATCTCACACAGCAGGAAACCTCGTCGTAGATATTAGAATCTGAGAAATGAACAAAGCACCCCGCTAAAATCTCATCTTCTCATGGTAGAACAAATGATTACGATAAAACGTTGAGTGGATGCATGCGGACGATATGCAGTCCCCTATTCCCAGAATGATCAGTCAGACCCTCATGTCACGTGACTCGTTTTCCACCATATATAGCTAGTCATTCTCAGAATTAGCATGCTATCTTTACATTGATTAAGCTTGTTATTTTGTCAGGTTATGAGACTCATTTTGCATTCAAACACGGATAATTTAAAAGTTATCTTGTCAAAATTAGCAACTGCTTGCTTCATTTAAACTTTATATTATTTTAATTATTTAAAATTAAAAATATATAATTTTTATATATATAAAGTTTATAAAGTATATTTAAATCAATTAATATTATATAAAGAAAATAAAATATTATATAATATTTTAACTTATAATTTAATCTGAAAAGGAAAATATTTTTATAAAATTCTTCTTTAGAATAAAGAAATTCTTTTAAAAATAATTTTATATTTATATTTTTTTAATATTTTAATTAAATAAAAAATTGATAATAATAACTTTAACTATAATTTTTTTAATAAAATAAAGTTAAAATTAATAAATAATAAAAAATAATATTATTATTATTTATTTAAAGAATATATAGTTAATAACTATAATATTTATTTTATTATATTAGAATTTAATTATTTTAATTATTTAATATATATATATATATAATTTATAACTTATAGTTATATATATTTATTTTAATAAAAATTTATATAAAAATAAATAAAATAAATAAAAATTTAATCAATAAAAAATAATATTATAAAAATATTTTATTAAATAATTTTAATATTTAATAATAAATTAATAATAAAATATTCTTTTTTTAATTTTAAAATTTAATTTCTAGAAATAATTTTTATTTTTTTTATAAAGTTTAATTAAAAATATTATTTTTAATTTAATTTTATAAATAAAAAGTATATTTATTTGATTAATAAAGTATTTTTTCATTAATTTTTTTAATATTATTATAAAATAAAAAGTTTATTAATATATAATTTAAATTTTCAATTAAATTATAAAAAGTATATTTATATAAATTTATAAAATTTTTAATTTTTTAAATAAAATTTATAATAATTATACTTAAATTTTAATTATATTATAAAAAAGTTTTCTTTTTATATTTTATTAAAAAAGATTTTTATTTTAATTTTATTTTATATTTTATATATTAAACAATTTTTTTAAAGTTTAATTTATTTATTAAAATATAATCTTTTAATTTTTCTTTTAATATAAAACTAAAAAATAATTTTTTATATTATTTTTTATTATTTTATCTATCTTTTTATTTTATATATATATATATATATAATATAAGTTAATATTAAAGATAAATAAATTTAATAATTTTACTATTTTTAAA